TTACACATCTATTATCATAATACACACACTTGGAAAAATTTCTGAAGCACAACAGATGTATAAAATTAACTATTAGAAGTTTTTTAGCTACCGACGTTTGAGTGGACCATATGCCATTCCTCGTGAAAATAATGTGTTTCTATTTTGCACTTCGACTCGGTATCACTGAAGTGGGAAGGATGGGGCTCAAAGCTCAATCACGTCATTTTCTTGACAAAAAGTACATTTTCGAACTTGACATTCCTGCTCATTGAGGCTACCTACTACCTACTAATATTTCTAGTTATCCTTCCACTGTATCGTGAGTTATCCTGCTAACAGAAAACTTACAAAAACCGAAAAAGCCCACTGCAGTGATGTAGTGAAATGCTATAATGCCAAGTTTCAACAAAACCTTTGTCTTTTTTGACAGTACTTACATACTGAGTTTCATCAGTTGTTGAGTTGAGTTATCCTGCTAACAAAACCGACAAAGGTCACGTAGGAGCCATAGCAGCCCATTTTCTTTAGATATCTGCTAGAAGGCCCATTATCGAACTTAGCCTTCATCTCGGCTACCCATAGTCGTCCACTAAATATCATTAATAACCATCTACATCTTCTTGAGAACATAACTGTACATAGCATGGATAACCATTTCAGAACTTGAACTGTGTTTCCATAAACGCTATGTACCTACCAAATATAATTAAGATCCATTCACAGCTTTTCGAGTTATGCTGAACACATATAATCAACAAATGCCGTTAAAAAATCCCACTGCAGTACAGCTGGAAAAGCCAGCAGATGAACCATTTTGAACTTGACCTTCGTTTCCACAATAACTACTCACATACCAAATATCAATAAAAGTTGACGTATGACGTTGACATGCATACAGGGAGACAACACAGCCACACCACCATGGCAAAACCGAAAACATACCCTTCTGACGAAGGCAATGACGTACCCAATTTTCCTCCATTTCCACAGGTATAACCTCGGATAATCCTGAGGGTACATCTTGGGACTCAGTCCCAACAGCGAATATGAAGGAAGTCAGCGTCAGCTCCAGGACCGGGCAGCTGTGGGCAGTGGAGATTGGCGGCAGAGTGTGGCGTTCTCCTTTCTACTGTGAAATCTCTGGTAAGATGATTCTGAAAAGAAAAGAAATACGTTTTAATAGTATGTTAGGGCGGTTGGTTCAAGTTCTACTTTATAGCCCGTAAGAGCAATGTGCCCAATGCATGGGACATTCTCGTTTCTGAGAATGGAAGCCAATTCTCACGGTCAATATGCTTATTTACGTCGCATACTTTGCAAAAATGTAAACATATTGCGATGAAAAGCGTTGGTGAATGCCGGGCAACACTCTCTCTACTTTATACTTAAGTTATACCTGGTTCTCGTCATTTTCCCAATGCAGTAAAGAGCAACTGGGAAGCAATTGAAGGTTGCTTTTCGTCAGTGTCTGTGGGACGGTCGGGCGTTTGGGCGGTGGACTTTGAAGGCGAGGTGTACCACAGAGCAGGCACATTTCTAAACGAAACCGCCCCTGGCGTGGCATGGCTGCATGCACCCGGAGTACATCTGGAGCAGATCGGAGTGGGGGACAGAACTGTTTGGGGTGTGGACTCCTCGCAGCGTGCATTTGTAAAAGTTCTACCGACATCTGTCGACGGGAAAGTCTGTCAAGTCGGCTTGAAAGGACATTCTATGTGCTACGCCATTCAAGAAGGTCAAAATCAAAATAACTACATGTGATATTAACACATATGGTTCACAACAAAATGCTGCTCAAATAAGTATTACATAGTTCGTTCTTGCCTTATAACATTCTTCCTGCCTGTAAATATATATATTATATGAAATATCTATGCCTTTGATAAATGTTTGCGCTCATTTTAGATATGATCTAAATTAATCTTTTTTCGTCGTCAGAAAAGCGACTCTGTGCAGAGGACGAAGTCATTTGTCCATACAGCGACAAATGCATCAAAGAATGCCGCGTGTGTGACGGCACCGTGGACTGTGGGGATGATGACGACACTGACGAGCGGAACTGTTGTAAGTGCAAATTTGAGTCCTGGGTCTCAACTACTATATTATATAAAATATATACAACCCATTATACAAGCATCCCATTTGGTGTGACTAAATATCAGGCCATATGTCAAGGTTGCTAGATAAGCATTATTCGTCTCATTTTGAAAAAAAAGGCACACGATCATATCCAAAATCGGACGTTTATTTTGAACATAACGGTAATTTTATTATACCACGAAGGAAGCTAAAAAGTAATAACTCATTAACGCAAAGTAGTGTCAGATTCCAAAAAATTTTCAAAAAGGCAAAAGCAACAGTATATGCATATATATATACTTACTTTTTTTAGATGAAAAGATATTAGTAGATAGATAGATTGATAGGTAGATAGATAGGTAGAAGCATACATAAAAAGACACGTTGAAATAATTCATATAAAACACGCACCCCTCTGTTTTGATTGCAGGGTTTGCCAACTGTCCGGAGAAACATCGGCGAGTGTGTGCCGGAGAAGTGGGCTGCTACAGTCCGACTCGTGTGTGCGACGGAGAGCGGAACTGTGGGGAAATTACTGAGGATGAGCGGGACTGTCCCGGTAGGGTTTTGATTTCTCTCTTTTCAATACGGAGGTTGACAATCATGGCTAAGGCAAGCAGAGATGAAATTGAATTTAACCCCAACAATTGCGCAGTCGCAACAGTGAACCTCTTTACAGTCGACAGATACAGCCACACGACATGACAATTATCAAATAAACTTGAATTTCTTGTTTTTCTGTATTCTGATTATGTTTGTTACAAGCTTGATACTTTTCCATAAACATTTGAAATGCTTTGAAAATAAGAACTAATTCTAATATTTCCATTATCAAAATATCTTATTTCTGTTTTGCCTCATATGCACGTGTTTGCAAGTAGTAAAATTAGATGGAACCTTAACATGGACATAGATTCTTTTGTAATATCATATATTTCATAAGTTTAAGTGCATGAGCCAGTGTAATCTTTTGCCTCTGACGCACATTTTTCCGACAGGCGAAGCGTAGACTTGATATATTTTTCGCTATTCTAAAGTTTAAAACATTAATTTAAGTTACGTTAATGACATGATTTCATAATGTAGTCATGTAATCCAATTTACAGACAGCTGCGTGCACCACTGGAAACGTAACTACCTACTGCAACGAGACGAAATCCAGTGTCGTGATCTGTCAGGCTGTGTGAGGATCACAAAAGTTTGCGATGGTCAGAAAGACTGTGCAGATGGGTCGGACGAGATAAACTGTTGTAAGCCTCTAACGTAAAAATAAACGTTTCTGTTAAGGTAAAGCGTTTGTTCCAACATAAAAGAAAAACCTTTCTCACCTAGAGCTCTCGACCAGTCACTCTTTGTATTCCTCAGTAAACTGACTCAGTGAGGCTTGTCACGTGGCGTTTCTGAAGTGTGACGTCAAAAACTCTCGGTCAAAAGGTCTCAGGTAGACGATGTCAGCCCCCGTCGCGGTTGATTAAAGGGTAACTACTTAACTGGACCTGATAGCCTATTTCACCACTGTCAGGAAGTAATCTTGTTCGGTATCCAATGAAACAGCTTGTCCAGGGAACTCTGGATAAATGTGTTGTGACACTGAATTGCCTGAATTTAGCGAGATCTTCAGGAACCTTACCTTCAAAGGCCTTTCCGTTTCCCCCACTGTAGTATTCCTGGTAGAGTACTTAGTTACCTATATGAAAATGTAGGTATTGTTTTTGGTCAGTCTGTGTGTGTCTGTGCGTCTGTGTTTCCGCATACTTTTGGTCAACATAACTTTATGTTACCTTAGTCGTTAATTATCTTCAGCTACTAATAAATATAAGCTTTAAAGTCCCATTGTCTTTACCTGAAGACGACTTCTGCTCCCTTCATGGAACATTTGGTGATGCCGCCTACTGGAAGTGCCGTGACTCCCCGAGCTGTGTGAAAGGAGAATTTCTGTGTAACGGCATTTCTGACTGCGCTGATGAGTCGGACGAAGAGAACTGTGGTAAGACTTTTTTCTCCATTTGTTTAGATATCTAGTCTTCAGTCAAATTTCAATCTGCGATTATAATTCAATCACTTTGTTTTTCAAACTACAGATGAATTATGCAGATCTATAGGGTACTGGCCGTGTAAAAACTCCATCCCGCCGTTCCCGAGGTGTATCAAGGGGTCGGGCAGATGTAACCGAGCAGTAGAGTGCAGGGACTTCTCGGATGAGATCGGCTGCGGTAGATAAACATTTTCCATGTATTTAAGCACACCTTAACACAGGTGTAGGTAGCTTATACGCTCTTTCATGTTATCATACATAATTCTCCTGAAAGTTGTATTTGTATGAGGTATCATTTAGTCCCAATGGTTAATGGTTGTATTTTCTTATTAGATTACTGTGGACTGCATGAAATGACTGGCTTCTCAAAATGGGACAGAGAAATATTCAAGGAGGGAACTGACATGCTGTACCTACTTCATGAATCATGTATTCCATTTGACAAAGTTTGTGATGGATATGATGACTGGTATTTCCAAGATGAAATCAGCTGTGCCCAGGGTACGTTCACCTACAGAGTGACTAACATGCATCACAGTTTTCGTATGAAAGAATGAATGACTGGTTTATTAAAACAATTATGCAATCAATACTTGGGATGTCTTAAAGGCACTTTGTGTAACGTTTTGACAATACAAAAAGTATATTTTCCAGTCTTTTCTTTACATAGTAAGATGACTTAACCGTATTCCAGTACAATATTCAGCAATAGAAAATGCGACATACAAGCATGATAGAAATATGAATGATCTTCTATTCAAACCTCTGGCCACACCGCACATATGGTTGGCCACTGCTAGTGGTATGGCCTACCTACCAATGGGGTGTCAGTTGATACCTTACAAGTTGCTGAAAGACCTAACCGTTTACCGGATTTTTTAAAATCTCGTTTGAAGGGATAATGACCACAGTTTATTGATGACCAACAAAATACACTAAGTTCATAATCATATTCCACCCCATGTGGAAGATATGAGTGTTTCAAAAGAAGCTAATCTTGTGACAGGTGCCCCTGTCTACTATAAGGCATGCCCGATAAATTAGCCACCCTAGGGCGCCAACCACCGTCTGTTGGTGTTGTTGTTTTTGTTGTCCTGAGCAAACCGGTGGCACCGTGAACTGAACAAGGACTGTTTGAATGCACGAAATACACGCCAAAAATGTGAAATAACGACACAAATGTGTGGAAAAGTGATAGTAACTGTTGATAACAACATAATGTAATATTATAAGAAGATTTCAAAATTTTCTGTAAACAGTTACATAATGAGCCCTTAAAATTCATACCGCATGTTGAGGGAAAAGATCTCCCTGAAAGTAAAACCATCTCTTTCGATAAATATAAAAGTAAAGATACCTGCTGCTGTTTTTATGTTACATTTTTATTTTACCTTTATATTAGACTTATCTTGTGCAGAATGATTAATACAGGGCCACAAACATCACCTAAACGTCCTCAAAATCTGGCTGACGTCTGCCCATGTGATTTGATAACAAAGACAGGGTTTCCACCATTTCGAAAGCCTCGTTATAAGTAATGGCTGGTTACAAAATCAGTTTATAACGTCTTTGGCGATAACATAACATCGTTCTCTTATACAGGAATCCCTACTGTACATCTTTGTGAAAGATGTCCACACTTCGAAAATACCTGTTTGCCCCTAGGCGACGACAGCTACTGTGATACTATAATACAATGTGACAACGGAGAAGATGAAGATAACTGTGGTCAGTATATTGGTCATGACTTACTTCTAGGCTTGTGGTAAGTTTAGAGAATTAAGAATTATATTGCCAATGTGTTAAGGCCAGATTTGCTAGTCGTGCCCTGTAATACCATCCCTTTTTCCATCCTCCTGTTTAAGTTAGACATTGATGTGAAAGTGATTGAGCAGATGTCAGTAAGCACAGGGCGGGTGACCAAAGTCAAAAATGAAATTTTTGCCCAGTCAATTTTCATGTCATTTTGATGAGAAATAGCGAATCCATTTGACCACTTTTACAATAGAATCAATGGTATAATCAATGGGTCTAAGCCATAACTGTACTAAAAATCAACTAAATTAAATTCTATCCGCATTTTAAGAAGCTATTGCTTACTAGAATTTGAAAAAAAAGTTTTTGCACATTTTGGAATTTTATAAAAACGGGCCGTCTTTAAACATCTGCTTCTTCTCACTAGAAATTTTGCTCAAAACTCCAATCAATGTGTTGTTAACAAAATATTATATAGTTAATAAAATAAACCAAACGAAGTATTTGGGGTTTTCCTCGTATTTTTGCATGGACATAGACGACAAATGCGAACAATCCGGACAACCCGGATGGACGTGTAAATGTGACCAGATCACGGGATGCTACAAGCCGGATGACATCTGCGATGGTCGGAAGCAGTGTCACTCTCTGGCAGGGAATGACTGCCATGATGACGAACAGCATTGCGGTAATGGTTCCATTTCCCCTACATACATCATTTCATGCACATGATCAATTTCCTATCATTTGACCAAATATGTTGTCAACTGGCCAATAGAGTCCTTGTTGAAAGCCGTAAACACAATATGCATGGATATTGAATGTTACTGAGTGCAAGCTGCAGATCTAGACTTTCTCATCCAGCATATTCCAACCCTAAAAATAACACCCTGAAAAAATCATAAACTTGGAGGCAAAGCAATAGGCTTTCTACAACACGCTTTTACTATCATAATGCATCCATCCGACTAAAGCAGAAATTTAAAATGTTTCATACGTATACTTCGGTAATAGAGAATCATATATCTTAGCAATTTGTCTGGAATATGTAAGAGTATATTTATTTCTTTTGTCCAAGTGTAGAGACATTGCTCTCGTATAAATCTAAACATGTATAGAAGAGTATTGCCGTACTTTTGGTGGCTTCGACTGTGGCCCGCCATGGCATCAGTGCATATCCCTACACCGTGTATGTGATGAACATCCTGACTGTAATTACATGGACAATGCAACAATGGAGTTTTACGGTCCTACTGATGAACAAAATTGTGGTAAGCGATTTTCAGTGTTTTTCTGTACCTTATGAACATTTTACATCTGTTGCAAAAGCTTCTGTAAAACGATGCTGCACTACAAGAAAGTTTTATTTCAATGGCCATGAAATGGGAGAGACTGTTTACCATATTTTATACCGTTTGTCTATGTATAACAATTGATCCTATAGATGCACATGTAGTATAATCTGACTTTAATTTTCGCTCTTTAGTATATTGCATTTATAAGAATTGTTTAAATGTTTAATCCGGCAACAAACTATTCACCATGATGTGCCATCGACAGCTGGTCTTTAAATAACAACAACCAAAAAAAAAAAACGCGACATCTATTTCGTCTTAATTGCAGGAACCTGTGACGGGTATTGGGTTGCTTTGGAAGAGTATAAGGAAAAAAGGAAGGAAGAGGGACTAACGACGTCTGACGAGTACAATTATAAGTGCAACTCAGGAAAATGCGCAGCGACATTCAACCTGTGTGATGACCGCGACTTCTGTGGCAACTGGGAGGACGAGCAAGACTGCGGTACGTTTTCTCTCTCTGTTTACCTAAGAACTTAAGATGAGGCATTGCATGAGATAAAGAGGCAGAGTCGGTGAAATCAGTTCTTATGTTGTATCTGTAAGTTACGTGGAACCAAGGACATTATACAGAAGTCTTTATAATATCCTTGGTGGAACTTATAACTGAAACCCTTCAGCCATATAACTAAAAACATCCAGCTATTTTTCGTGATCCGGGAGGTTTGGGACCCCCCTCAGAGACAGTCAGTGATAGTGATGATATAGTGTTGACAGTTTAGCACAATGGAAATCTGGTGAGATTAACAGAGAAACACAAAATAAGTTTAAATTTTTAACTTTAGGTACATGTGATTGAATTAGCCGTGATTAGGTACATGTAATTGAATAAGGTCAGTTTTTCTTATGTCCGTATGGCTTTCACGATTAAAGGTCCCTTTTCGTCTGCTATACTGACTAAACGAATAGCCACAAGCAGTTATCAGATTTTAATATAGCTTCAGAAGTATTGTATGGGTGGCCCGATTTAGACTAGGTTTGTATGTATATGTTCTGAGGTGAATATTTTACTTATTTTACAGGGGTTGACGCTGTATACACTATGAATGTGTGAAACGTAGTGTAATAACGGAATACGTTTTACTATAGAACCATGTTAGGGAACTATGTCTACCTCCAGGAGGTTTGAAATCTTTGGTTTCTTTGCTTTTTCAGAAGCAGTAGGTTGCCATCATGACGATAAAAAATGTGAAGCTACAAAGAAGTGTGTGTCTGATTTGTCCTGTAACGGGCTTCCTGGTTGTCTGGATTCTACGGACGAAAAGGATTGCGGTAGGTGCTTTTACGTATTGTCAATAGATTACGCAAAATAAAGTGGAAATTCACAAAACGCGCATGGTACCCTCTTCTTTTCAGATCATCGGTTTTTAGTGTATATCGCCACCCCCCCCCCATCAAAACAAGAAATGTATAGACAAAGACTAATTATAATATGTCAAAAGTTATAATATATGTATTATTTTAACTCTTTAACTTCATATTGAGCTACCTGCCCTATTTTATAAACATATCAGATATAACGACATGCATGGACACGGCGGTACGGTTAGGTGTTTCTGACCAGTATAAAGAAATTGAAGTCGCACAAAATTGCGATGGGAAGGACGACTGCAGGACGGGTGTTGATGAGAATCCACGGAGATGTGGTGAGCAAAGTAGCTTTTCCTGCTTTTTTTCTATTGAATACTAATTTATTTCCTCTAACTTGTATAGCAATTTGTTTTGTCTAACTTATGAGAGTTCAATAGGTTTATTCGGTTTCATTGGATGATTTATTATGAGACCTCCGTGCACTCTCAATGCAGTAATTTTTTTAAAAGGTCAATTCGCATCATAGAAGTGTCTGATAATCAAAATAAGGTCACACTAGCATATGTATTCTATATCAGTTGATTATCTTTTCTATCTACATAATACAATTTATGTAAGTACGTATTTCAATAATAAAAGGTAATAGCAGCATTTTCTTTACTATATACAAATGTTATCTTAAAGTGACTCAAAACATGTCCTAAAGGGGGAAATTCCTGTCATCATTTTTTCAGCCATGTACACAGACCGACTGCCGTGCGTCAAATCCAACAGATTTGTGCCGGTAAACAGCTTCTGTAATGGATTTTCTGACTGCCACGATGCTTCAGATGAGGACGCCTGTATTGGTAAGCCTTAATGACAATGGCATTTATTGCATATTCATGCCCCAGTGGGTCTAAATGCACTTTTAAGTTACAAAAAGGATTAGGCATACTATGCTTTATTCTGTCTATATCTAAGCTGTACATGTTTCTTCTCTCTTCTTTAGACATTTGTATACGAATTTACAGAGTTTTTCTAATACATCATTGTTAACTAAAGACAATATTTGTATGAATATATCATCCTTTGTTAGATGCGCCCATTTTTGCTCTAACTGTGTTTCAACAAAAAAGGTAGATCGTAGATCGCTTTATAGTGGACACTCAACAATAAAGTGGACTTCATTTTCTATAGTATTATATCACAAAATGTACATAACCTATCATTAAGGGGAGTTCGGGTGTATCTACCTGTTTCAATTTGTAGTGGATGGTCTCTAATTCTTAATTTGGTCATCGCACGTCTATGGCTAAAGAGGAGTTGTGTAAACAATTTTCAATGATTTCGGGTTGTCATTATATTTAGCCATGTCAAGACATGTTGATATGGCGATCTATAACATGTTCGTTCGCGAACGTTCCCTATGGTCTTTTTCCAGTACAACATTAGAATTTCCATTTTATCCCTCCAGTAATTGGAAAATGATTTCAAAACACATTAAAGGGCATATTCGAAATTATGTGGGGTCGTGTGGCGCAGTCGGTAGCGCGTTCGGCTCACACTCCAGAGGTTGCGGGTTCGAACCCCACCTTGTGCACCGATCTTGTGCCCTTGGGAAAGGCACTTTACACGACTTTCCTCACTTCACTCAGGTGTAAATGAGTACCTAGCTTCGGTTAGGGACGTCCCTCGGATAGGACGTAAACTGGAGGTCCCGTGTTTGAGGAGAGCCACACCTCGAGCACGTTAAAGATCCCACCACACCTTTCGAAAAAGAGTAGGGGCATGCCCCGGTGTGCGATGGTACAAACACTACTGTATGGAGTTGGTGATTCACTTCAAATCACCCGGACAGAGGCCTGGCGACCTCCGTCTTGTATAAGCCACATGGTGATTTACATCATTCACCCGGACG